AGCCCTGGAACGCCACGTCTCTGAAGAGGTACTACCAATAAAAGCTAAGTTCCGGCTTTAATTGGATGTTGTTTGTTGTCAATCAAATACGTATGAATGAGCAAGTTACTGAAATTTACAAAGAAGAATTTTCTTTTCCAACGGTCTACTATAAAAATTTAAAGCCAAGTGGCAAGTGGCATTCTAGCCGAGCGCCAGGCACGTAAGCAAGATAAGTGGCAGCTGGCACTATAAGCCGAACGTCAGACACTTGCTAAAAACTTAAAGCCAAGTGGCAAGTGGCATTCTAGCCGAACGCCAGGCACTTAAGCAAGATAAGTGGCAGCTGGCACTATAGGCCGAACGCCAGACACTTGCTAAAAACTTAAAGCCAAGTGGCAAGTGGCATTCTAGCCGAGCGCCAGGCACGTAAGCAAGATAAGTGGCAGCTGGCACTATAAGCCGAACGCCAGACACTTGCTAAAAACTTAAAGCCAAGTGGCAAGTGGCATTCTAGCCGAACGCCAGGCACTTAAGCAAGATAAGTGGCAGCTGGCACTATAGGCCGAACGCCAGACACTTGCTAAAAACTTAAAGCCAAGTGGCAAGTGGCATTCTAGCCGAGCGCCAGGCACTTAAGCAAGATAAGTGGCAGCTGGCACTATAAGCCGAACGCCAGACACTTGCTAAAAACTTAAAGCCAAGTGGCAAGTGGCATTCTAGCCGAGCGCCAGGCACTTAAGCAAGATAAGTGGCAGCTGGCACTATAAGCCGAACGCCAGACACTTGCTAAAAACTTAAAGCCAAGTGGCAAATGGCATTCTAGCCGAGCACCAGGCACTCAAGCAAGATAAGTGGCAGCTGGCACTATAGGCCGAACGCCAGACACTTGCTAAAAACTTAAAGCCAAGTGGCAAGTGGCATTCTAGCCGAGCGCCAGGCACTTAAGCAAGATAAGTGGCAGCTGGCACTATAAGCCGAACGCCAGACACTTGCTAAAAACTTAAAGCCAAGTGGCAAATGGCATTCTAGCCGAGCGCCAGGCACTTAAGCAAGATAAGTGGCAGCTTGCACCATGAGCCGAACGCCAGACACTTGCTAAAAATTTAAAGCCAAGTGGCAAGTGGCATCCTAGCCGAGCGCCAGGCACTTGCCATAAACAAACACACGGCAAAGCTAATATAAAAGAAAAAGAGAGAAAAGATATGTATGTATTGAAGATAAGTTGAATAGAGCACAACACATAGGGAAAAAAAGTTCTGTCGTTTCATTAATATTGAGCATTGAGTTTACAAAAGAGAGATGTCCATCATTACAAAAAGATATGGAATGGAAGAATTCAAAGGAGCCCTAGCTAGACGCCTCAGTACCAACAGCATCCTGGTCGTGCCGACTCGCCTCCTCGGCCCCATCAGCCGTCTCACCTTCATGAGGTGGGGAATCAAGGTGAATGACTGAATCGTTCGGCTGGGGTTCAGCGTCAGCAGTGGCTATGGAAGGAACCACGGTTGACGATTGAGGAGCGATCAGTGGCAGAGCGGTAGGAGGAGCTGTGATGATCCTTGAGGAAGCAATGTCCTGGCACTCATCAAATATACGCTCCGCTTCGGTGGGTTCTGGGTCGACATAGACCCCCAGAGGTTCGATCCCCAGATCCTTGTCTACCTCATCCGGAGTGGAGCTGGTCTGTCCCTCATCCGGAACCCGGTCGGCGAAACCTTCCCGGAATCCTTGAGCATACCTAATAGCACCGACCCTTGAGAACCGAGCGTGAAGGGCCAGCATCCCACCACCCACTCTGCTGATCGCGTCGATCAGAGTGGTACGCTCGTCCAGAGCTCTTTTTTCAAAAGCCATCCGAGCGGACTGTTCATCAGCTAGAAGGCGCTGGAGTTCTGCCTTCTCTTCTCTAATTGATTCCCGCTCGGTCTGCCAAACGCTCTTCTCAAGCTGGAGGGCGTCCTTCTCATCCTGAAGGGAATCATTCTCCTTCTTCAGGACATCTCTCTCTTGCTCGGTTTTGTCAAGCCGAGCCAGTACCTCGGTATTCTTCATGGCAAGGAGGTCGTTTTCTTTATTAGCCACCTCCAGGCTGTCAGAAAACTTACGGGCCCTGGCGTTCCCCATCTCCACCTGCTTCTGCATGGCCATCATTCCGAACAATGTCTGCATAGGTGCACATTAAAAATGGTTAAGCCAATAGTCAGGTCGGGCGAAGGCAAGACCAAATAATATGAGAGAATTCATGAGTTAGAAAATAAAAGTCACCTCCATAGCAGATTGGGGAAAGCGGCTGAACACATCCTTCTGGGAAAGGCCCTTTGCCGCTTCAAGGTCCTTCGGAGTCCACATGCTCCTGTAGTAGGCCATAGCGGTCTGGCCATCCTTCAGCATGGTCTCGTTCGGTTTCACGAACGTCCCATCCGTTCGGGTGTACCGAGGGGCCCATGGCGGTAAGGTGGGGATAGAAGGGGGGCCTGAAGCAGAAGCAGAGCCACCAGCTGCAGCAGGCCCAGAGGGAGCAGGAGCTCTGACCGCTCGGTGCAAGAGAGCACCCGGCCCGGAGACCCGGGTCCTTCTAATGAGAGGCTCCTCCTCAGGATCGACTTCACTATCAGGATGAGGCCTTTTGCCTCGTTCTTTGTCCCGACCGCCCCCCGCAGCAACAGGAGCTATGGTAGCTGGGGGGGACGCGTTCTGGTTGGCAGCAGAGGCGCTGGCAACAGGGTTAATAGCCACTGCGCTCGGGACAGTGTCAGATATGGTGGCTGAGGAAGAAGCTGACGCTGGAGAGGAGGTCGCCCCAGCAGTAGGAGTGGCTGGGGGAGTATTTTTCTTCCTGCCAAAAGAAGGAATCTGAAGTCTGCTCATGTTGTAGCCGAGTGATGAGAGCGCTAAGAGGTTGTCTGAAGTGAGGAGATCTGAGCAGGAAGGAATATCGTTCAGAACGTATTTCTTCAAGTAGTTACTCCTATCCCTGCAAACACTATAGCTCAAGTCATCACAAGGTATTCCCAAGGTCTGCAGCCGGCGAAGACCAAGCCCCACTAATGCCCACGATGCTATCCCTCCAACCCTTCTCAGATTTTATTGTGTCCGTACATATGGACATCTTCTCGAACGGGTAGAGGTGGTAGAAGGGTTCGTTAGTACGGATCTTACTGACCTTATAGCACAGAAGGAGGTCTATAAGGTCGAGGTCCAGATTTCTGTCACGCATCAACAAGAGCATAACAGATATGATTCTAAAGAAGTTGGGGTTGACCTGCAGAGGGGATATCCCCAATCTATTGAAGACATAACTAAAGAAAGGGTGCAGAGGGAACCTAACAACATTCAATTGAAGGTTCGTGAATAAGACTTCGCCGGGCAGGAGGCCGGCGCCGGTCATAATGTTAACATCCTGGGGGCAAACCCTAACTTCGATGTTGTCAGGAAGTCTAAGTCTCATACGAAGAACATCCAGATCTACAACCATGGTGGAAGTGCTAGAAGAATCTAAAAGGAGGTAAATGGAAGCCTGCCGAAAGTAAAAAAGAACGAAACTAACCTCGGAGGACTGCAAGATCGCTAGAAGAATGACTCTTGAAGGATTTCACCAGAAAAAGCTTAGCACTGTTCTAGAAAGAAAGAGACTTGGCTGATGATGGAGACGGTAAAGGGAAGTGAAGTGGAATTCTAGAGCATTATAAAGGCGAGGGGGCCCGAGGGCCGAAGCGTCGGGAAGGCGAGAAATTCCTCGAGCCCCGGAACATTGATTCTGGATCTGACCGTCCGCTCCCCCACGTGGTTATCTCGAGCCGTCAACATCATGATGAGATGCCATCAATAATTACCCCTTATTAAATAAGGGGCAATTATGGGGGCAGTTGAGGAGGCCCCGGACGACATGGGCCGGATCCGACTCGCAAACACAACATTCAGTTCGTACAGCTGGGTCGGCCCATATAAAGACACTGCCATATGGGCCGAACGGGAGTAAGCCCATCAAAGGTGACCAGGGCTTATGGAGGAATAGGCCCAGATCCAGCAATCAGTAAATATCTTGTAAATATCTTGTAAATATCTATAAATAGGATAAGGAATGGAAAGGAGGGGGATCTTTTTTGGGTTGAGGTGTAAGAATTCTGGAGAGAGAAAGAGGAGAACGAATTTCTTGCATCTTCACAATAAATAAGAGAAAATCCCGAAATAAAAATATCCATCTTTACTACAATCAACCCTTCTCAAACAATACTTACTGGATTAATAAAAAAGAACCCTTCTCAAACACTAAATAGAATAGTAATAAAGAGTACCTTCGTAAACCGGGGAAACCGATCTCTCCTCTTGGTTAGTTGTACTATCCATCTCAAAGTCAAATCTCCTTTATTTGCACCGCCAATTCCTGTATATCCTCAAAGACAGAATGCCGAATTATATTATGTATATACCCAAAGCCAGAATGCCGAATTATATTATGTTTATTTAGATTTCCCAAAAACTAACAAATCACTCAGTGCACCGCGTACACACTGGCCACCAAATCGTGCACACCTCATTGCACCTAATTCTTTGTATTTTCTTTTTAGTTTGTAAGTTCCGTGGGTGGAACCCACAATTTCATCTCATACTAGTGTTCAATTATTGCTGAGTCTTGTATCTGGTGATGTAGCGCATTGCATAGTTTATTTACCATACACACGACACGAGACATGGGGCATGATTTTATTAGTGGAGTTTATCGTCAGTTTGCCATGTGGAGTTTATCGAGATCCATTATTGGGTAAATATCTAGGTTTGCAAAAAACGAGTCAGAAAGTATTTTGTGGCTAAGCTAGTAATATGATGGAATAACAACAAACATCGAAAGAAAACTAAATACGGTATATTTGACCAACTTAATTTATCCACTATTTTGACAAAGATATATCCTCCAGAGAGAGTTTCACATTTTTATCTTTTTTTCCTTAGTTCTTGCTCATCATCGTGCAAAATTTCTTCGATCAATTACTCATTTTGTAATGTGAAATCATATATAGATGGAAAAGAAAAAACTACAAAGGAGATAATCGAAGCTGTAGATGACGAAAAGAAATCAGTGACTTTCAAGGTAATTGAAGGAGATCTCACTGAGATGTACAAGAGCTTTATTTTTATTGTTCATGTCGATGCTAAGGGTGAAAGTAACCTTGTGACATGGACTCTCGAATATGAGAAGCTGAACGAGGATGTCCCTGATCCAGCTACAATGATGAACACTTTAGTTATTATGACTAAAGATATTGAAACTTATCATCTCCAAAAGTAGCCACAAAGTGTCATGGATTGGTGCTGCTGAGTACATGAATAAATATTGAGTAATATGTCAAGTACTAGCTATAATAAAGTTTGGGGGGATTTCTTACGAGTGATATGTAAAATAATGAATCATATGTTATATAAATAGGGATGTGTAGAAACTTGTACTTGCAGCAATGTATTACATATTTGTGGTTGATTATCAATAATAAGTACATGTGTGTCATGTAACAATTAGTTCTTAATGTAATGACATAAATACCGATTTTGGTGACGAAAATACCCCTAGTATTTAATATATATACTAGCCATTATTTTCCTGTGCATCGAGTGACCCAGAGTCTTGAATGACATAAAAATTAGCCTCTTTTCAAAGTTTGAACAGGATCACTTTGAGCATTATCTTAAAAAATTATGTTGACCAACTAGTCCATTATTTTCGAAAGGGAGAATTTTATTTATTTATTTATTTTTTTTTTTGAAGAACATTTTTCTGTAAATATATATAATTTCGCCCTGTACCACCTCTTTTACCCTCTTGAGTCCCCACATCAAATGGGAAGCTTTCACATCAGCAGACATAAGTGGATTCTTACAGCTAATCTTGTAATCACTATTGAACACTAAATTTTGGACTCCTAATATGCTCCATTGTAGCCATCACTTTGGTGTACAAAATCATGGTACAAAGCAGCAATGGACATGCCATAAACTTTATAGGACTTGGTATAAACAAATTTCAAATGTATCCAAATTAAGACTTAAGGCTAAGCAAGCAAATTTAATACTGGTCATTGTAGTTGCTATGGTGGTCCTATATCCTGTACTAAAGGTGATCATAAACTTTGTGGTTCATATCTCAATTTGTCGCAGTAATGTGAAGAAAATACTAGGTATCAGAGAAGTATTGCATCTCCACCCAATAGATAATAGTATTTCTTAGTATCCATTGATCGGGTATTATATAATCAGTGTCCAAGTAGTGTCCAATACTTTCTAGCAATGTGTCGATTTTTAAATTTTGATAATGACATTTTACTGTGTTGTTACTAAAGTTAATAATGCAGCTTAAAAAATAGAGAGCGGCAAAGACACTCCAAACCTGCTTCAATTGTGATGGGACTCTCATGAGTCGAACATATTACAAATATAAAACATTAATCTTAAAAGTAATAAAATATAGTATTCCAATACATCATACATTTTACTAGAATTATTTAAGGTATCTTATATGTCAATTGCCGAATCCAAGTAAGATTTGGTAAATCTAATGAGATTGATAACAACTCTTTGTGAGACATTGATGATTGTAGCCATCAAATGTAATAAGCATTGGGGAAAAAATAATTTTGTAAAAGAAAAATGCCAAATCAAAATTAGTAATCCGAATATTTCTAAATCTGAAAAGAAAAAAACAAAATTAAATAAAAAAAAAAAATTAATGAAAACCTAAAGAGCAAGGTCCACAAACAACTCCTAATTTTTTTTTTTTTTTTGTTAATAATAATATTTAGAGTTGTCTACAGACCAATTAATAATATGATCTCTTTTTTTCAAAAAGTCAAAATTACATTCGGTTGATCATTACTGAAAGAAAAGTAAAGAATTGTTTGTTTGTTTGTTTTTTTTTTTTTTTTTTTTGAATGGGATGATTTTATAAAGAAAAAAGGATAAAAGTTAAAGTACAAATACAATAGAGGGGCATACCCCTCCTTACAAAGAAAAAGAAATGGAGTAAATCCATTCCAAAAAAAAAAAAAAAAAAAAAAAACAACTGACATACTATAAAAACTTACACCATATTAAAAATAGCAAGAATATCAGCAAGCCCAAGAGAGAAGAAGCTTAAAACTTCCCAGACGATCTCATTTGCAGCAGCAGCGACAGGAACTTTAATAGCCCTATGCAAAGCAGAATTCCTTTCCATCCATATCTTCCACACAAACACCACGAACAGCCCTTTGAAAATCTTGGACCTAATACAATTACCCTGAGTAACTTCAATGATCCAATCCACTAACAAACTAAGCTCTTCAAAGCTTCTATCAGTAATGTTAAATCGAATAACAACCTGTTGCCACACTTGCATGGCATACTCACAAGAACAAAATAAATGATTATTTGAATCTTCAGCCTTGAAGCAATTGTGACAAACTGCAGGCCCCTTTTCTGTAAATTAACAAAGGACAAATTCTTATTATGCATCATAATTGCGAAGACCACGGCAACCCTTGGTCTACAATGAGTCCATGACAACCCCTTCCATCTGACCAATTGTCCTCTAGCTCTACAAATTTCCAAGCATTCTTCAAACTAAATTCACCATGAATCCAACTAGTTTCGTCATTACCCTCCTTCAGATTAATATTACTAACAAACTCAGCAGCTATTTGTGGGAAGAAAGGAGGGAAAGCCCACCCACCAGCAGTAATAGGTGAGGTTGCTTGAGCTTGAGGATCCAAGTTCCTAAACAAATTAATTCCCAAATCTCTAAACCAAGGAGAGACTTGCACACCAAGGATCAAACAACATGTTAAAGGAACCACCATTTCCAATCTTGAACTACACATTTTCTTGAAGGAAGTCTCTTGTGTCCAGAATGTGCTTCCAAATACTTGAATCTTGAGGTTTAGGAAGGACCCTCCAGAAATTGTGCTGCTGTAAGTACCTAGCATGCATCCATTGCACCCAAAGAGACTCCTTATTCCTCAGAAAATCCCAGCAAATAGAGACCTTGGCAGCAAAATCAATATAAGAAATTCTTCGAATGTTGAATCCACCTTCTACATAAGGTAATGTAACTTGGCTCCATTTGAGTTGAAACATCTTCCTAGCATCCAACTTTCCACTCCACAAGAAATGTTTAAATTTTCTCTCCAAGGCAATGATGCAACCCCATGGAACTTTAAAGCCAAAGACCCAATGGTACAAGAAAGAATACAACACTGATCTGATAAGTTCTACTCTACCTGCGAGAGATAAATTCAAACTATTCCAATGATCCAACCTTGCAATAACTTTATCAAACAAACCCTTACAATCCACAGTTCTGAGAGCCCTATTTACCAAAGTAATTCCCAGATACTTTAGAGGGAAAGATTCAGTTTTCATTTACAGAATCCGAGCTATCCTTCTCTTCCCTCTAACAGCCTTAGAAAAAATAACTGAGCTCTTGTCCTTGTTTACAACAAGACCAGAAGCTTCATAAAACCTTTTGAACACTTCATCAACATTCTTAGCAGTAGCAATATCAGCCTTTACAATAATGAAAAGGTCATCGGCATAGAAAGCATGAAAACCAAGATTCCCGACTTTTGAACCACATTACATAGCTTAATCTGACCTCCCACAATTTTTTCATGCATGAGATTAGAGAAATAATCAGTAATTAAAGTGAACAGAAGAGGGGAGAGAGGGTAACCCTGTCGAATTCCCCTCCCAGCAGAAAAATATCTTCTAGGAACACTATTGCATAGGACAGAAAACATAGAGGTAGTAACACACTTCATTGTCCACTGAATCCATTTTGCACTGAAACTATACAGCTGAAAATTTTTATGAATAAAATCCCAACTAACAGAATCATAAGCTTTCCTCAGATCTACTTTTAAAGCCATAGCAAGGCCTGTTGTCTTTAAGCCAAAAATTTTAATCACATCAGTCACCAATAAAATATTATCATGAATTCTTCTACCCTTGATAAAGACGGACTGCTCCAATCCAACAATATTAGGAAGAATAACACTTAATCGATTTGCCAAAATTTTAGAAATGATTTTGTAACTGAGGTTGCATAACGCAATTGGCCTGTAATTCTCTAATTTATCACCATGATTCAACTTTGGGATCAATGCAAGGAATGTAGAGTTAATCCCCCTAGGCATCACCACATCAGAGAAAAAAAATTGAATAGCTTTAATCAAATCAGAACTTACAATATGCCAAAACTTCTGAAAAAACCTAGCTGGGAATCCATCAGGTCCAGGGGCTTTGTCTGGGCCAAAAGCCAGCACAACCCTTTTGATTTCCTCAGCTATAACCTCCATATCCAGCGCCTGACACTCTTTAGCTTGTAATTGTTTTCTAGGAGGAGCAATCTCTGTCATTAAAGATTCTTTCTTAGCATACAAATCTTCATAAAATTGAACTAACCACTCCTTGATAACTTCATAATCAGAAGATACTGTCCCATCAGGATGTTTCAAACAAGTAATAGACTTATAACATCTCCTTTGTTTAACCATATTATGAAAATAAATAGTACATTTATCCTCCTCTTTGAGCCACTTCACCCTTGATTTCTGGCACCACAGAATTTCCTCCAAGTCCAAAGTGGATTGCAGTTTCAAGATAACTTCTCTTTCCTTGGAAATCAACAAGTGATTCAAGGGGTTAAGAAGTAAATCCATTTGAATCTTATGCAACTCCTCATTCACAACCTGAACCTGCTCAGAGACTTTGCCTTTCTTCTTATTCCATTCTCTAACAGCATCTTTAACTGTTTTAAGCTTCTTCTAAAGCTTGTATAAAGGATTTCCTTCAACTGATTCCTTCCAAACTTTACCCACCATCTCTTCGACCTCTTGATTGAAACACCAGATTTTCAAGAACTTAAAAGGTTTAGGCCCTAGAGCACAGTTTAAATGCCAAGAAATTGCCAACCCATAGTGATCTGACAAGGAAGCAGCGGTCAAATGCACTCTGGTATCAGTAAATTTATGAAGCCAGGCTGCATTCACAAGAGCTCTATCCAGCTTAACATTAACCCTTCTATTACTATCTTATTTATTACTCCAAGACCATCCCCCATTATTGATAGGTAATTCCTCCATTTGAATATCTTTAAGCACTTGATTAAATTCATCAAGAAGATGTTGAGGCACCCTCAGCCCTCCAATTTTATCACCATGAAACCGAGAAATGTTTCAGTCACCTAAAGCTATCCAAGGTCGATCAACCATAGTAGCTTGATCTTTAAGATTTAACCACAACTTTCTTCTTTCTTGCACAGTAGTTGCAGCATATATCATAGACA